TCAGAACCGGGTTTTTTGGGTGCTTTTGGCGTGTAGGGGGTCCCAAGCCCTGCTGGAAAATAAAGTCAGCTTTCCCTATAAAGTGGTTGGGGAAAGGGAAGCATGAATGCTCCAAAATCCCCTTTGGTAGAGGGCGGGGGTTTGCCCCGGGACTTAATGAAGAACAGGGGCCCAAAACACCGCAGATGACTTGGCTCCCCAAAATAAATTTCAGATTTGGGAAAACCTTCACAATGGACTTAAAAGCACCTTGCAGTGTGTCCCTTTCTCCATTTTTTCCCCCAACTTTTTTCCCTTTGGGTTTCCCCAAATGAGATGCAAAAGTTGCTCTCTCAAAAAAAGAGGATTTTTGGCCCCACTGAGCAAAAAACCAGGTCGTTTTTTTTTGGGCCCGGAAAAGACGCTTTTTTGGACTTTGTTTTTTGTTTTCAGGGCGGGTTTGAAAAGGGGAATACGACATTTGAAGCCCATGAAAGGGGGACCCCGTCTGTGTGTGGTGGCTTTTGATGCACTGATTTCCATTTCCACCCTTGTGAAAGTAAAAAACCATTTTTGAAGGGCCCTTTTTTCCTGAAAAATCCTTTTCCGGGGCGGTCACCCCCTGCTGTTTTGTGCCCCCTTTTTCTTCCACACTTTTCCCTTCCACATAACTTTCTATAATGTTCTTTGATAGCCGCACTTTGGAACCTGCCAACTCTCATTTGCAATTACCTTTATGAGGCATTTACCTCCTTATAGAGGGTGTCAATGATGGTTTTCTGCACAACTGTCAGGTCAGCAGTCTTCCCACTGATTGTGATTCCTACTGAACCAGACTGAGAGACCATTTAAAAGGTTTAAGAACCCTTTGCAGGTGTTATGGCTTAATTAGCTGATTAGGTAGTGGGACAACTTTGAGCCTAGAATATTGCACCTTTTCACATATTCTAATTTTCTGAGATTGTGGATTGGGGTTTTCATGAGCTGTAAGCCATAATCATCACAATTTATGACAATTCACGGCTTGAACTATCTGCTTTGCATGTAATGAGTCTATCTCACATATATTAAGTTTCACCTTTTCAAGTTGTATTACTGAAAATAAATTAACTTTTGTTGCACGAATATTCTAATTTTTCGAGTTTCACCTGTTGTATATCTAAATCATTAATTCTATTTTAGGGTGGACTGAACCCTTTAATACAGATGTTATATATAGTTTTTATGCATTTGAATGTGCTTTCTAAGGTCACCATTTGTATTTTGTTTTACTGTACAGCCATCATTTATTTAGTTATTGTTTGCTAAGTAATACATAGTGCTTTCAAAATGGTATTCAACAGATAAAATGAACATATCATCCTATTGTAAGCACGGGAACTTTTTGTATCACAGTATTGACAATGCAAAACACAAATTCTACTTGCAATTTGTAGAAAAAACATGAAGATACCTGTTTGACCTCACCTTTTATTGCACAACAGCAAGACGATAAAAATGCTGTAACAGAAATGGAAAGTGCCATATAGATGGCACTGTGTATTTTGCAAATGTCATTTTAGGTATGATAAACACTCCTTTGTCTTCTTCCCCAGTTAGTGTGTGGATTGAAAAAGGACATTATTACAATGTAGCCAAACATCGAGGTCAAATTGCAGGAATCAAAGACAGATTTTCTGCAAATCGAACAAGCTTCACACAATACAAGAAGAGACCTATACAGAAAAAAAGCATTGAAATACCACATTGAAGAAAAAAGAGATGATTCAATTTTGCATGCTCCGCTAATGTATTTTTTGTCATTCTTTTTCAATCTTTTATTCCGTCAATGCAACAATCACTGGGCAAAGCAATATTTTGAACAATGTTAAAAAAATGTAAGTAAGCACTGCTGATAATGTCATTATCCCAATAAGACAAGGATGAGATATATTTGAGTTTAAAGTAAGGTTACCAGTTTTAAAAATAGTTTTACACTGCCGCTTAACGTTAAGAAGTAAGGTTAAATGTCTCAACAGGGACAGATTGTGAACATAAGAGGAAATAGGTTCTAACCTTTCCCTATTTTAGCACTCTACCCACTCTATGCTGTCTATGTTCCCATTGGAGAGATTTTAATTCCATTCCCATTGGCACCTGTGAGTGGGAAGTGAGCTGGAATCTGTCTTATGATGATATAGACTGCTCACAAGGTTCTAATTAGAGATGAGCGAAGTATTCAAAAATTCGATTCAACTGATTCGGCGAATTCGTGGAAAAATTTCGATTCGAGTCGAATATATTCGCTGCGAATTTAACTTATAAAAGGGTGTTTCTAGGCTTCAGAGAGCCTTTATATTAGTGCAGAACACTGTACCTTTAATTTAAATGCCCTTGGAGTCTGCTGGGGAAGAGAAATAATACTGTCAGTCAGTATGACATGCAGATGAGTGCCGTCGATCTTAGAATCACCGCACACTTCACTCATTTGGGCAGTCACGGGGCCAAAACCAGAGTGTGGAGCCACAGTGTGGCGGTGGAGGCAGCAGCAATGGGAGGCCATACAGCACCCTATGACAAAAATGGAAACCACCAGCAGTGTGAGGAGACCTGAAAGTGGCACATGGCAGAGTGTGGCGATAGAGACAGCAGCAATGGGAGGCCGTACAGGGACCCATGACACACTCTGGACCTGGCAGCAGCATGAGGAGGCGGTACAGGGGCCCATGACAGATTACGGGCCTGGCAGCAGCATGAGGAGTCGGTACGGGGGCCCATGGCAGATTACGGGCCTGGCAGCAGCAATGGGAGGCCGTACAGGGACCCATGACACACTCTGGACCTGGCAGCAGCATGGGGAGGCGGTACAGGGGCCTATGACAGATTACGGGCCTGGCAGCAGCATGAGGAGTCGGTACGGGGGCCCATGACACACTCTGGACCTGGCAGCAGCATGAGGAGGCGGTACAGGGGCGCATGACAGATTACGAGCCTGGCAGCAGCAACTTGGACAGGAGGACGTTCAGCTTCTGCACCGTCGGGTGCGTGCTCGTAAACTGTTGTCTCTTGGAAACGGATTCAAGAAAGACTGCTGACGGAATCCGTGAAGAGGAGTAGCAGGAGAAGGAGCATCTGAACGAGCGGAATATGCCAACAAGCGACAACAGGGGCCCATGACAGATTACGGGCCTGGCAGCAGCATGAGGAGGCGGTATAGGGGCCCATGGCAGATTAGGGGCCTGGCAGTAGCTATGGGAGGCCCGTAATCTGCCAGCACCCTATGACAAAAAATGGAACCACACCAGCAGTGTGAGGAGACCTGAAAGTGGCACATGGCAGAGTGTGGCGATGGAGACAGCAGCAATGGGAGGCCGTACAGGGACCCATGAGAGACTCTGGACTTGGCAGCAGCATGAGGAGGCGGTATAGGGGCCCATGGCAGATTAGGGGCCTGGCAGCAGCTATGGGAGGCCCGTAATCTGCCAGCACCCTATGACAAAAAATGGAACACACCAGCAGTGTGAGGAGACCTGAAAGTGGCACATGTTTGGGGCATGATTCATGGCGGATTTAGTCAGTTGTGTCAGGAACTGGTGGTTTGAAATCCAGACTAATCCACGCCTGATTCATTTTCACAAACGTGAGTCTCTCTCCACACTTTGGGTGGACAGTCGTGTCCTCCGCGGAGTTGCAATACCTCCTGCCGCACTAAACACGCGCTCCGATGCCACGCTACTGGCCGGGCATGACAGCCTTTCAAGGGCAAATTCAGCTAGTTGGGGCCAAAGGTCAAGTTTCGTTGCCCAGTAGTCAAGGGGATTGTCTACCTCGGTTGGCAGGGTGCTGTCCAAGTAGGCCTAAGCCTGTTGTTTGAGGTCCTGCTCCAGGTCCACCTGATGCTGCTGCTGCTGCTGCGGCTGGTTAGTAGTTTCCTCACTGCGCTGGTGAAGAAAGCTACTCATCATCGACTGCAGACTGAGGCAGCCGCTGCTGGTGGAGCTGCCACTGCTCCTACCACCCCACCCCTCCCCTGCTGCCATGGCAGCGGAACGCGAGCGCACAGGGCCCACAGTGTCTGAGGATGGACGTTGGCGCAGACAGGCAGAGACCAGCTGACTACATAGGTGGTTTTTATAGTACGTTATTTTGGCCTCCCTCTCAGCAGGTGTGAAAAAGGCCACCATTTTTGAACGGTAGCGAGGGTCCAACAAGGTGGACAGCCAAAAGTCATCCCTCTGTCTGATGGTTATTATTCGGCTGTCGCTACGCAAGCAAGCGAGCATGCTATGGGCCATTTGTGCCAAGGAATGCGAGGGACTCCCTGCCTCCATCTCCACAGCATACTGCCACGGTGCGTCTGTCCTCTGTCTCCTCTTCCTCCTCCTCTACCAGATGCTCCTGCTCCTCCACTCCTGTCCGCTGAGTGGAAAAAACCACCCATTTCACTCAATAATTCCTGAGCACCAATGTCCTCCTCTACCTCCTCCTCTTCTTCCTGTCCTGCCCCCACAGGGGTCATGTGGCGTTGAGATCTGTGCGCCACGTCTACCGCACCCTGACCAGCCATTGTTAACAGCATTTGTTCCAGGACGTGCAACAGAGGAATGACGTCGTTCATCCCATAGTCCTGCCGACTCACGAATAGCGTGGCCTCCTCAAAGGGCCTGAGCAAGCGCAGGTGTCACGCATGAGCTGCCAATGGCTGACATCTAAGTTACACAGGGAGTACCTTTATCCGCTTTTAACATCAGGAAATCTGTGATGGCCTTTTGCTGTTCGTAAAGGCGGTCTAACATATGTAGGGTTGAATTCCACCTTGTTGCAACGTCACAGCATGAGGAGTCGGTATAGGGGCCCATGGCAGATTAGGGGCCTGGCAGCAGCTATGGGAGGCCCGTAATCTGCCAGCACCCTATGACAAAAAAATGGAACACACCAGCAGTGTGAGGAGACCTGAAAGTGGCACATGGCAGAGTGTGGCGATGGAGACAGCAGCAATGGGAGGCCGTACAGGGACCCATGACAGACTCTGGACTTGGCAGCAGCATGAGGGAGGCGGTATATAGGGGCCCATGGCAGATTAGGGGCCTGGCAGCAGCTATAGGAGGCCCGTAATCTGCCAGCACCCTATGTCAAAAAATTCAACACACCAGCAGTGTGTGAGGAGACCTGAAAGTGGCACATGGCAGAGTGTGGCGATGGAGACAGCAGCAATGGGAGGCCGTACAGGGACCCATGACAGACTCTGGACTTGGCAGCAGCATGAGGAGGCGGTATATAGGGGCCTATGGCAGATTAGGGGCCTGGCAGCAGCTATAGGAGGCCCGTAATCTGCCAGCACCCTATGTCAAAAAATTCAACACACCAGCAGTGTGTGAGGAGACCTGAAAGTGGCACATGGCAGAGTGTGGCGATGGAGACAGCAGCAATGGGAGGCCGTACAGGGACCCATGACAGACTCTGGACTTGGCAGCAGCATGAGGAGGCGGTATATAGGGGCCCATGGCAGATTAGGGGCCTGGCAGCAGCTATAGGAGGCCCGTAATCTGCCAGCACCCTATGTCAAAAAATTCAACACACCAGCAGTGTGTGAGGAGACCTGAAAGTGGCACATGGCAGAGTGTGGCGATGGAGACAGCAGCAATGGGAGGCCGTACAGGGACCCATGACAGACTCTGGACTTGGCAGCAGCATGAGGAGGCGGTATATATAGGGCCCATGGCAGATTAGGGGCCTGGCAGCAGCTATGGGAGGCCCGTAATCTGCCAGCACCCTATGTCAAAAAATTCAACACACCAGCAGTGTGTGAGGAGACCTGAAAGTGGCACATGGCAGAGTGTGGCGATGGAGACAGCAGCAATGGGAGGCCGTACAGGGACCCATGACAGACTCTGGACTTGGCAGCAGCATGAGGAGGCGGTATATAGGGGCCTATGGCAGATTAGGGGCCTGGCAGCAGCTATGGGAGGCCCGTAATCTGCCAGCACCCTATGTCAAAAAATTCAACACACCAGCAGTGTGTGAGACCTGAAAGTGGCACATGGCAGAGTGTGGCGATGGAGAGACAGCAGCAATGGGAGGCCGTACAGGGACCCATGACAGACTCTGGACTTGGCAGCAGCATGAGGAGGCGGTATATAGGGGCCTATGGCAGATTAGGGGCCTGGCAGCAGCTATAGGAGGCCCGTAATCTGCCAGCACCCTATGTCAAAAAATTCAACACACCAGCAGTGTGAGGAGACCTGAAAGTGGCACATGGCAGAGTGTGGCGATGGAGACAGCAGCAATGGGAGGCCGTACAGGGACCCATGACAGACTCTGGACTTGGCAGCAGCATGAGGAGGCGGTATATAGGGGCCCATGGCAGATTAGGGGCCTGGCAGCAGCTATAGGAGGCCCGTAATCTGCCAGCACCCTATGTCAAAAAATTCAACACACCAGCAGTGTGTGAGAGACCTGAAAGTGGCACATGGCAGAGTGTGGCGATGGAGACAGCAGCAATGGGAGGCCGTACAGGGACCCATGAGAGACTCTGGACTGGCAGCAGCATGAGGAGGCGGTTATATAGGGGCCCATGGCAGATTAGGGGCCTGGCAGCAGCTATAGGAGGCCCGTAATCTGCCAGCACCCTATGTCAAAAAATTCAACACACCAGCAGTGTGAGGAGACCTGAAAGTGGCACATGGCAGAGTGTGTGTGGCGATGGAGACAGCAGCAATGGGAGGCCGTACAGGGACCCATGACAGACTCTGGACTTGGCAGCAGCATGAGGAGGGAGGCGGTATATAGGGGCCCATGGCAGATTAGGGGCCTGGCAGCAGCTATAGGAGGCCCGTAATCTGCCAGCACCCTATGTCAAAAAATTCAACACACCAGCAGTGTGAGGAGACCTGAAAGTGGCACATGGCAGAGTGTGGCGATGGAGACAGCAGCAATGGGAGGCCGTACAGGGACCCATGACAGACTCTGGACTTGGCAGCAGCATGAGGAGGCGGTATATAGGGGCCTATGGCAGATTAGGGGCCTGGCAGCAGCTATAGGAGGCCCGTAATCTGCCAGCACCCTATGTCAAAAAATTCAACACACCAGCAGTGTGTGAGGAGACCTGAAAGTGGCACATGGCAGAGTGTGGCGATGGAGACAGCAGCAATGGGAGGCCGTACAGGGACCCATGAGAGACTCTGGACTTGGCAGCAGCATGAGGAGGCGGTATATAGGGGCCTATGGCAGATTAGGGGCCTGGCAGCAGCTATGGGAGGCCCGTAATCTGCCAGCACCCTATGTCAAAAAATTCAACACACCAGCAGTGTGTGAGGAGACCTGAAAGTGGCACATGGCAGAGTGTGGCGATGGAGACAGCAGCAATGGGAGGCCGTACAGGGACCCATGAGAGACTCTGGACTTGGCAGCAGCATGAGGAGGCGGTATATAGGGGCCTATGGCAGATTAGGGGCCTGGCAGCAGCTATGGGAGGCCCGTAATCTGCCAGCACCCTATGTCAAAAAATTCAACACACACCAGCAGTGTGAGAGAGACCTGAAAGTGGCACATGGCAGAGTGTGGCGATGGAGACAGCAGCAATGGGAGGCCGTACAGGGACCCATGACAGACTCTGGACTTGGCAGCAGCAGCATGAGGAGGCGGTATATAGGGGCCTATGGCAGATTAGGGGCCTGGCAGCAGCTATGGGAGGCCCGTAATCTGCCAGCACCCTATGTCAAAAAATTCAACACACCAGCAGTGTGTGAGGAGACCTGAAAGTGGCACATGGCAGAGTGTGGCGATGGAGACAGCAGCAATGGGAGGCCGTACAGGGACCCATGACAGACTCTGGACTTGGCAGCAGCATGAGGAGGCGGTATATAGGGGCCCATGGCAGATTAGGGGCCTGGCAGCAGCTATAGGAGGCCCGTAATCTGCCAGCACCCTATGTCAAAAAATTCAACACACCCAGCAGTGTGTGAGGAGACCTGAAAGTGGCACATGGCAGAGTGTGGCGATGGAGACACGCAGCAATGGGAGGCCGTACAGGGACCCATGACAGACTCTGGACTTGGCAGCAGCATGAGGAGGCGGTATATAGGGGCCCATGGCAGATTAGGGGCCTGGCAGCAGCTATGGGAGGCCCGTAATCTGCCAGCACCCTATGTCAAAAAATTCAACACACCAGCAGTGTGAGGAGACCTGAAAGTGGCACATGGCAGAGTGTGGCGATGGAGACAGCAGCAATGGGAGGCCGTACAGGGACCCATGACAGACTCTGGACTTGGCAGCAGCATGAGGAGGCGGTATATAGGGGCCTATGGCAGATTAGGGGCCTGGCAGCAGCTATAGGAGGCCCGTAATCTGCCAGCACCCTATGTCAAAAAATTCAACACACAGCAGTGTGTGAGGAGACCTGAAAGTGGCACATGGCAGAGTGTGGCGATGGAGACAGCAGCAATGGGAGGCCGTACAGGGACCCATGACAGACTCTGGACTTGGGCAGCAGCATGAGGAGGCGGTATATAGGGGCCTATGGCAGATTAGGGGCCTGGCAGCAGCTATGGGAGGCCCGTAATCTGCCAGCACCCTATGTCAAAAAATTCAACACACCAGCAGTGTGTGAGGAGACCTGAAAGTGGCACATGGCAGAGTGTGGCGATGGAGACAGCAGCAATGGGAGGCCGTACAGGGACCCATGAGAGACTCTGGACTTGGCAGCAGCAGCAGAGGAGGCGGTATATAGGGGCCCATGGCAGATTAGGGGCCTGGCAGCAGCTATAGGGAGGCCCGTAATCTGCCAGCACCCTATGTCAAAAAATTCAACACACCAGCAGTGTGTGAGGAGACCTGAAAGTGGCACATGGCAGTGTGGCGATGGAGACAGCAGCAATGGGAGGCCGTACAGGGACCCATGACAGACTCTGGACTTGGCAGCAGCATGAGGAGGCGGTATATAGGGGCCCATGGCAGATTAGGGGCCTGGCAGCAGTATGGGAGGCCCGTAATCTGCCAGCACCCTATGTCAAAAAATTCAACACACCAGCAGTGTGTGAGGAGACCTGAAAGTGGCACATGGCAGAGTGTGGCGATGGAGACAGCAGCAATGGGAGGCCGTACAGGGACCCATGACAGACTCTGGACTTGGCAGCAGCATGAGGAGGCGGTATATAGGGGCCCATGGCAGATTAGGGGCCTGGCAGCAGCTATGGGGGCCCGTAATCTGCCAGCACCCTATGTCAAAAAATTCAACACACCAGCAGTGTGTGAGGAGACCTGAAAGTGGCACATGGCAGAGTGTGTGGCGATGGAGACAGCAGCAATGGGAGGCCGTACAGGGACCCATGACAGACTCTGGACTTGGCAGCAGCATGAGGAGGCGGTATATAGGGGCCCATGGCAGATTAGGGGCCTGGCAGCAGCTATGGGAGGCCCGTAATCTGCCAGCACCCTATGTCAAAAAATTCAACACACCAGCAGTGTGTGAGGAGACCTGAAAGTGGCACATGGCAGAGTGTGGCGATGGAGACAGCAGCAATGGGAGGCCGTACAGGGACCCATGAGAGACTCTGGACTGGCAGCAGCATGAGGAGGCGGTATATAGGGGCCTATGGCAGATTAGGGGCCTGGCAGCAGCTATGGGAGGCCCGTAATCTGCCAGCACCCTATGTCAAAAAATTCAACACACCAGCAGTGTGTGAGGAGACCTGAAAGTGGCACATGGCAGAGTGTGGCGATGGAGACAGCAGCAATGGGAGGCCGTACAGGGACCCATGACAGACTCTGGACTTGGCAGCAGCATGAGGAGGCGGTATATAGGGGCCCATGGCAGATTAGGGGCCTGGCAGCAGCTATGGGAGGCCCGTAATCTGCCAGCACCCTATGTCAAAAAATTCAACACACCAGCAGTGTGTGAGGAGACCTGAAAGTGGCACATGGCAGAGTGTGGCGATGGAGACAGCAGCAATGGGAGGCCGAGGGACCCATGACAGACTCTGGACTTGGCAGCAGCATGAGGAGGCGGTATATAGGGGCCCATGGCAGATTAGGGGCCTGGCAGCAGCTATGGGAGGCCCGTAATCTGCCAGCACCCTATGTCAAAAAATTCAACACACCAGCAGTGTGTGAGGAGACCTGAAAGTGGCACATGGCAGAGTGTGGCGATGGAGACAGCAGCAATGGGAGGCCGTACAGGGACCCATGACAGACTCTGGACTTGGCAGCAGCATGAGGAGGCGGGGGTATATAGGGGCCCATGGCAGATTAGGGGCCTGGCAGCAGCTATAGGAGGCCCGTAATCTGCCAGCACCCTATGTCAAAAAATTCAACACACCAGCAGTGTGTGAGGAGACCTGAAAGTGGCACATGGCAGAGTGTGGCGATGGAGACAGCAGCAATGGGAGGCCGTACAGGGACCCATGACAGACTCTGGACTTGGCAGCAGCATGAGGAGGCGGTATATAGGGGCTATGGCAGATTAGGGGCCTGGCAGCAGCTATGGGAGGCCCGTAATCTGCCAGCACCCTATGTCAAAAAATTCAAACACACACAGCAGTGTGTGAGGAGACCTGAAAGTGGCACATGGCAGAGTGTGGCGATGGAGACAGCAGCAATGGGAGGCCGTACAGGGACCCATGACAGACTCTGGACTTGGCAGCAGCATGAGGAGGCGGGCGGTATATAGGGGCCCATGGGCAGATTAGGGGCCTGGCAGCAGCTATGGGAGGCCCGTAATCTGCCAGCACCCTATGTCAAAAAATTCAACACACCAGCAGTGTGAGGAGGACCTGAAAGTGGCACATGGCAGAGTGTGGCGATGGATGGAGACAGCAGCAATGGGAGGCCGTACAGGGGACCCATGAGAGACTCTGGACCTGGGCAGCAGCATGAGGAGGCGGTATATAGGGGCCTATGGCAGATTAGGGGCCTGGCAGCAGCTATAGGAGGGCCCGTAATCTGCCTGCACCCTATGCACCCTATGTCAAAAAATTCAACACAACACACCAGCAGTGTGTGAGGAGACCTGAAAGTGGCACATGGCAGAGTGTGGCGATGGAGACAGCAGCAATGGGAGGCCGTACAGGGACCCATGACAGACTCTGGACTTGGCAGCAGCAGCATGAGGAGGCGGTATATAGGGGCCCATGGCAGATTAGGGGCCTGGCAGCAGCTATAGGGGGCCCGTAATCTGCCAGCACCCTATGTCAAAAAATTCAACACACCAGCAGTGTGTGAGGAGACCTGAAAGTGGCACATGGCAGAGTGTGGCGATGGAGACAGCAGCAATGGGAGGCCGTACAGGGACCCATGACAGACTCTGGACTTGGCAGCAGCATGAGGAGGCGGTATATAGGGGCCCATGGCAGATTAGGGGCCTGGCAGCAGCTATGGGAGGCCCGTAATCTGCCAGCACCCTATGTCAAAAAATTCAACACACCAGCAGTGTGTGAGGAGACCTGAAAGTGGCACATGGCAGAGTGTGGCGATGGAGACAGCAGCAATGGGAGGCCGTACAGGGACCCATGACAGACTCTGGACTTGGCAGCAGCATGAGGAGGCGGTATATAGGGGCCCATGGCAGATTAGGGGCCTGGCAGCAGCAGCTATAGGAGGCCCCCGTAATCTGCCAGCACCCTATGTCAAAAAATTCAACACACACAGCAGTGTGTGAGGAGACCTGAAAGTGGCACATGGCAGAGTGTGGCGATGGAGACAGCAGCAATGGGAGGCCGTACAGGGACCCATGAGAGACTCTGGACTTGGCAGCAGCATGAGGAGGCGGTATATAGGGGCCTATGGCAGATTAGGGGCCTGGCAGCAGCTATAGGGAGGCCCGTAATCTGCCAGCACCCTATGTCAAAAAATTCAACACACCAGCAGTGTGTGGAGGAGACCTGAAAGTGGCACATGGCAGAGTGTGGCGATGGAGACAGCAGCAATGGGAGGCCGTACAGGGACCCATGAGAGCTCTGGACTTGGCAGCAGCATGAGGAGGCGGTATATAGGGGCCTATGGCAGATTAGGGGCCTGGCAGCAGCTATATGGGAGGCCCGTAATCTGCCAGCACCCTATGTCAAAAAATTCAACACACCAGCAGTGTGTGAGGAGACCTGAAAGTGGCACATGGCAGAGTGTGGCGATGGAGACAGCAGCAATGGGAGGCCGTACAGGGACCCATGAGAGACTCTGGACTTGGCAGCAGCATGAGGAGGCGGTATATAGGGGCCCATGGCAGATTAGGGGCCTGGCAGCAGCTATAGGAGGCCCGTAATCTGCCAGCACCCTATGTCAAAAAATTCAACACACCAGCAGTGTGTGAGGAGACCTGAAAGTGGCACATGGCAGAGTGTGGCGATGGAGACAGCAGCAATGGGAGGGCGTACAGGGACCCATGACAGACTCTGGACTTGGCAGCAGCATGAGGAGGCGGGCGGTATATAGGGGCCCATGGCAGATTAGGGGCCTGGCAGCAGCTATGGGAGGCCCGTAATCTGCCAGCACCCTATGTCAAAAAATTCAACACACCAGCAGTGTGTGAGGAGACCTGAAAGTGGCACATGGCAGAGTGTGGCGATGGAGACAGCAGCAATGGGAGGCCGTACAGGGACCCATGAGAGACTCTGGACTGGCAGCAGCATGAGGAGGCGGTATATAGGGGCCCATGGCAGATTAGGGGCCTGGCAGCAGCTATGGGAGGCCCGTAATCTGCCAGCACCCTATGTCAAAAAAATTCAACACACCAGCAGTGTGTGAGGAGACCTGAAAGTGGCACATGGCAGAGTGTGGCGATGGAGACAGCAGCAATGGGAGGCCGTACAGGGACCCATGACAGACTCTGGACTTGGCAGCAGCATGAGGAGGCGGTATATAGGGGCCCATGGCAGATTAGGGGCCTGGCAGCAGCTATGGGAGGCCCGTAATCTGCCAGCACCCTATGTCAAAAAATTCAACACACCAGCAGTGTGAGAGGAGACCTGAAAGTGGCACATGGCAGAGTGTGGCGATGGAGACACAGCAGCAATGGGAGGCCGTACAGGGACCCATGAGAGACTCTGGACTTGGCAGCAGCAGCATGAGGAGGCGGTATATAGGGGCCCATGGCAGATTAGGGGCCTGGCAGCAGCTATGGGAGGCCCGTAATCTGCCAGCACCCTATGTCAAAAAATTCAACACCAGCAGCAGTGTGAGGAGACCTGAAAGTGGCACATGGCAGAGTGTGGCGATGGAGACAGCAGCAATGGGAGGCCGTACAGGGACCCATGAGAGACTCTGGACCTGGCAGCAGCATGAGGAGGCGGTATATAGGGGCCTATGGCAGATTAGGGGCCTGGCAGCAGCTATAGGAGGCCCGTAATCTGCCAGCACCCTATGTCAAAAAATTCAACACACCAGCAGTGTGAGGAGACCTGAAAGTGGCACATGGCAGAGTGTGTGGCGATGGAGACAGCAGCAATGGGAGGCCGTACAGGGACCCATGACAGACTCTGGACTTGGCAGCAGCATGAGGAGGCGGTATATATAGGGGCCCATGGCAGATTAGGGGCCTGGCAGCAGCAGCTATGGGAGGCCCGTAATCTGCCAGCACCCTATGTCAAAAAATTCAACACACCAGCAGTGTGAGGAGACCTGAAAGTGGCACATGGCAGAGTGTGGCGATGGAGACAGCAGCAATGGGGAGGCCGTACAGGGACCCATGAGAGACTCTGGACCTGGCAGCAGCATGAGGAGGCGGTATATAGGGGCCCATGGCAGATTAGGGGCCTGGCAGCAGCTATATGGGAGGCCCGTAATCTGCCAGCACCCTATGTCAAAAAATTCAACACACCAGCAGTGTGTGAGGAGACCTGAAAGTGGCACATGGCAGAGTGTGGCGATGGAGACAGCAGCAATGGGAGGCCGTACAGGGACCCATGACACAGACTCTGGACTTGGCAGCAGCATGAGGAGGCGGTATAGGGGGCCCATGGCAGATTAGGGGCCTGGCAGCAGCTATAGGAGGCCCGTAATCTGCCAGCACCCTATGTCAAAAAAATTCAACACACCAGCAGTGTGTGAGGAGACCTGAAAGTGGCACATGGCAGAGTGTGGCGATGGAGACAGCAGCAATGGGAGGCCGTACAGGGACCCATGACAGACTCTGGACTGGCAGCAGCATGAGGAGGCGGTATATAGGGGCCTATGGCAGATTAGGGGCCTGGCAGCAGCTATAGGAGGCCCGTAATCTGCCAGCACCCTATGTCAAAAAATTCAACACACCAGCAGTGTGTGAGGAGACCTGAAAGTGGCACATGGCAGAGTGTGGCGATGGAGACAGCAGCAATGGGAGGCCGTACAGGGACCCATGACAGACTCTGGACTTGGCAGCAGCATGAGGAGGCGGGTATATAGGGGCCCATGGCAGATTAGGGGCCTGGCAGCACTATAGGAGGCCCGTAATCTGCCAGCACCCTATGTCAAAAAATTCAACACACCAGCAGTGTGTGAGGAGACCTGAAAGTGGCACATGGCAGAGTGTGGCGATGGAGACAGCAGCAATGGGAGGCCGTACAGGGACCCATGACAGACTCTGGACTTGGCAGCAGCATGAGGAGGCGGTATATAGGGGCCTATGGCAGATTAGGGGCCTGGCAGCAGCTATAGGAGGCCCGTAATCTGCCAGCACCCTATGTCAAAAAATTCAACACACCAGCAGTGTGAGGAGACCTGAAAGTGGCACATGGCAGAGTGTGGCGATGGAGACAGCAGCAATGGGAGGCCGTACAGGGACCCATGAGAGACTCTGGACTGGCAGCAGCATGAGGAGGCGGTATATAGGGGCCTATGGCAGATTAGGGGCCTGGCAGCAGCTATGGGAGGCCCGTAATCTGCCAGCACCCTATGTCAAAAAATTCAACACACCAGCAGTGTGTGAGGAGACCTGAAAGTGGCACATGGCAGAGTGTGGCGATGGAGACAGCAGCAATGGGAGGCCGTACAGGGACCCATGACAGACTCTGGACTTGGCAGCAGCATGAGGAGGCGGTATATAGGGGCCTATGGCAGATTAGGGGCCTGGCAGCAGCTATATGGAGGCCCGTAATCTGCCAGCACCCTATGTCAAAAAATTCAACACACCAGCAGTGTGTGAGGAGACCTGAAAGTGGCACATGGCAGAGTGTGGCGATGGAGACAGCAGCAATGGGAGGCCGTACAGGGACCCATGACAGACTCTGGACTTGGCAGCAGCATGAGGAGGCGGTATATAGGGGCCCATGGCAGATTAGGGGCCTGGCAGCAGCTATGGGAGGCCCGTAATCTGCCAGCACCCTATGTCAAAAAATTCAACACACCAGCAGTGTGTGAGGAGACCTGAAAGTGGCACATGGCAGAGTGTGGCGATGGAGACAGCAGCAATGGGAGGCCGTACAGGGACCCATGAGAGACTCTGGACCTGGCAGCAGCATGAGGAGGCGGTATATATAGGGGCCCATGGCAGATTAGGGGCCTGGCAGCAGCTATAGGAGGCCCGTAATCTGCCAGCACCCTATGTCAAAAAATTCAACACACCAGCAGTGTGTGAGGAGACCTGAAAGTGGCACATGGCAGAGTGTGGCGATGGAGACAGCAGCAATGGGAGGCCGTACAGGGACCCATGACAGACTCTGGACTTGGCAGCAGCAGCATGAGGAGGCGGTATATAGGGGCCCATGGCAGATTAGGGGCCTGGCAGCAGCTATGGGAGGCCCGTAATCTGCCAGCACCCTATGTCAAAAAATTCAACACACACAGCAGTGTGTGAGGAGACCTGAAAGTGGCACATGGCAGAGTGTGGCGATGATGGAGACAGCAGCAATGGGAGGCCGTACAGGGACCCATGACAGACTCTGGACTTGGCAGCAGCATGAGGAGGCGGTATATATGGGCCCATGGCAGATTAGGGGCCTGGCAGCAGCTATGGGAGGCCCGTAATCTGCCAGCACCCTATGTCAAAAAATTCAACACACCAGCAGTGTGTGAGGAGACCTGAAAGTGGCACATGGCAGGCAGAGTGTGGGCGATGGAGACAGCAGCAGCAATGGGAGGCCGTACAGGGACCCATGACAGACTCTGGACTTGGCAGCAGCATGAGGAGGAGGCGGTATATATAGGGGCCCATGGCAGATTAGGGGCCTGGCAGCAGCTATATGGGGGCCCGTAATCTGCCAGCACCCTATGTCAAAAAATTCAACACACCAGCAGTGTGAGGAGACCTGAAAGTGGCACATGGCAGAGTGTGGCGATGGAGACAGCAGCAATGGGAGGCCGTACAGGGACCCATGACAGACTCTGGACTTGGCAGCAGCAGCATGAGGAGGCGGTATATAGGGGCCTATGGCAGATTAGGGGCCTGGCAGCAGCTATAGGAGGCCCGTAATCTGCCGCACCCTATGTCAAAAAATTCAACACACCAGCAGTGTGAGGAGACCTGAAAGTGGCACATGGCAGAGTGTGGCGATGGAGACAGCAGCAATGGGAGGCCGTACAGGGACCCATGACAGACTCTGGACTTGGCAGCAGCATGAGGAGGCGGTATATAGGGGCCCATGGCAGATTAGGGGCCTGGCAGCAGCTATAGGAGGCCCGTAATCTGCCAGCACCCTATGTCAAAAAATTCAACACACCAGCAGTGTGTGAGGAGACCTGAAAGTGGCACATGGCAGAGTGTGGCGATGGAGACAGCAGCAATGGGAGGCCGTACAGGGACCCATGAGAGACTCTGGACCTGGCAGCAGCATGAGGAGGCGGTATATAGGGGCCTATGGCAGATTAGGGGCCTGGCAGCAGCTATAGGAGGCCCGTAATCTGCCAGCACCCTATGTCAAAAAATTCAACACACCAGCAGTGTGAGGAGACCCTGAAAGTGGCACATGGCAGAGTGTGGCGATGGAGACAGCAGCAATGGGAGGCCGTACAGGGACCCATGACAGACTCTGGACTTGGCAGCAGCATGAGGAGGCGGTATATAGGGGCCCATGGCAGATTAGGGGCCTGGCAGCAGCTATAGGAGGCCCGTAATCTGCCAGCACCCTATGTCAAAAAATTCAACACACCAGCAGTGTGTGAGGAGACCTGAAAGTGGCACATGGCAGAGTGTGGCGATGGAGACAGCAGCAATGGGAGGCCGTACAGGGACCCATGACAGACTCTGGACTTGGCAGCAGCATGAGGAGGCGGTATATAGGGGCCCATGGCAGATTAGGGGCCTGGCAGCAGCTATGGGAGGCCCGTAATCTGCCAGCACCCTATGTCAAAAAATTCAACACACCAGCAGTGTGAGGAGACCTGAAAGTGGCACATGGCAGAGTGTGGCGATGGAGACAGCAGCAATGGGAGGCCGTACAGGGACCCATGACAGACTCTGGACTTGGCAGCAGCATGAGGAGGCGGTATATAGGGGCCCATGGCAGATTAGGGGCCTGGCAGCAGCTATGGAGGCCCGTAATCTGCCAGCACCCTATGTCAAAAAATTGAACACACCAGCAGTGTGTGAGGAGACCTGAAAGTGGCACATGGCAGAGTGTGGCGATGGAGACAGCAGCAATGGGAGGCCGTACAGGGACCCATGAGAGACTCTGGACCTGGCAGCAGCATGAGGAGGCGGTATATAGGGGCCTATGGCAGATTAGGGGCCTGGCAGCAGCTATAGGAGGCCCGTAATCTGCCAGCACCCTATGTCAAAAAATTCAACACACCAGCAGTGTGAGGAGACCTGAAAGTGGCACATGGCAGAGTGTGGCGATGGAGACAGCAGCAATGGGAGGCCGTACAGGGACCCATGACAGACTCTGGACTTGGCAGCAGCATGAGGAGGCGGTATATAGGGGCCCATGGCAGATTAGGGCCTGGCAGCAGCTATGGGAGGCCGTAATCTGCCAGCACCCTATGTCAAAAAATTCAACACACCAGCAGTGTGTGAGGAGACCTGAAAGTGGCACATGGCAGAGTGTGGCGATGGAGACAGCAGCAATGGGAGGCCGTACAGGGACCCATGAGAGACTCTGGACCTGGCAGCAGCATGAGGAGGCGGTATATAGGGGCCTATGGCAGATTAGGGGCCTGGCAGCAGCTATAGGAGGCCCGTAATCTGCCAGCACCCTATGTCAAAAAATTCAACACACCAGCAGTGTGAGGAGACCTGAAAGTGGCACATGGCATAAGAGACTGTGGACCTGGCAGCAGCATGAGGAGGCGGTATAGGGGCCCATGGCAGATTAGGGGCCTGGCAGCAGCTATGGGAGGCCCGTAATCTGCCAGCACCCTATGACAAAAAA